AGTCTCCAGCTTTTCTGACTGAATGTCTCTCTCATCTTTAATATATCATTAGATGATTGTTGCCTGCAGCCCTCGCAATCAGAAAACCTAACCCCAAACGATCGTTGACGATAAATGTCGGCTGTATTCCACGCGAATATCGTTCAGGTTACATTGTCCAGATAGAAAGAGAAAAATCGCCATGGTAACCGTAAAAATTCTGGCAACGATCGTGGTACGATGAATTCCCAGTTAAAGCCTGGTTATAACGGGGCTGTGCGTTTTATCGCGAAAAATTCTTCGGTCGCTTAAAATCGCAATACAGAACGACCGTTGACCCGAATCCTATTCTTCTTCCGTGTTTTTCTCTCTGTTCCTCTCTTCGATTGTCCCCGTCCTCTCCCGTGTAACCCTCCGAACCGCTCTTTCTCGCAGTACCAGAGATAAAAATCAGTAATTAGCCGGGACCATTATGGCGGCCGTTTGAAAAATTAGCGGGTCGTGGGGGTAACCGCCCCTCTGGGCATAATCCTGCATCGGTAACGGCGCATACCAACGTGCATCCAACCTGTCTCTGATTTATACGGGTTTGCTATTAATTACACCCAAACCACTGCCTCGTTTTCCACCCCTTCTCGAAACGATTATTCGAACCCTTTTCTTGCGGTACACCGTCATTCTAGGCTTATCCCTTCTCTGTTCATTCTGTCATCTACATTATGCTATTGTCCTATTTTTTTTTAATAAAAATAGGATGTTTATGCAGGGGAAATCTTCATGAAATAAAATATGGAAGATGTGTGTTGATGAAGGTGAAAGATTTCTGTAATGAAAATGGTGCTATGGGGAACGACTCGTCGGACGTATTAAAATATAAAACTCCAAATGTACAGAATTTTGAAATTCAATAATCTAAAAATTAAAATTCCCAAATTCTCGAATTTCCAAATTTTTAAAATTTAAAATTCTGAAATTTCCAAACTATCGAATTTCCAATCTCTCAAATTTCCAATCTCTAAAATTTCCGAACTCTCAAATTTCCAATCTCTCAAATTTCCAATCTCTCAAATTTCCAATCTCTCAAATTTCCAAACTCTCAAATTTCCAATCTCTCAAATTTCCAAACTCTCAAATTTCCAATCTCTCAAATTTCCAAACTCTCAAATTTCCAATCTCTCAAATTTCCAAACTCTCAAATTTCCAATCTCTCAAATTTCCAAACTCTCAAATTTCCAATCTCTCAAATTTCCAAACTCTCAAATTTCCAATCTCTCAAATTTCCAAACTCTCAAATTTCCAATCTCTCAAATTTCCAAACTCTCAAATTTCCAATCTCTCAAATTTCCAAACTCTCAAATTTCCAATCTCTCAAATTTCCAAACTCTCAAATTTCCAATCTCTCAAATTTCCAAACTCTCAAATTTCCAATCTCTCAAATTTCCAAACTCTCAAATTTCCAATCTCTCAAATTTCCAAACTCTCAAATTTCCAATCTCTCAAATTTCCAAACTCTCAAATTTCCAATCTCTCAAATTTCCAACCCCTCGAATTCCCAAACTCTCAAATTTCCAAACCCTCAAATTCCCAATCTCTCAAATTTCCAACCCCTCGAATTCCCAAACTCTCAAATTTCCAAACCCTCAAATTCCCAAACTCTCAAATTTCCAACCCCTCAAATTCCCAAATTCTCAAATTTCCAACCCCTCAAATTTCCAAATTCTCAATTTCCCCAATCCTCGAATTCTCAAATTCTCAAAAATTTCTGTAACAAAAATAATGCTATGAAGAAAGACTCGTCGGACGTATTAAAATATAAAACTCTGAAGCCACAGAAATTCCGAAAATCAATAATCTAAAAATTTAAAGATTCAAAAATATGGAAAATTGAGAGAGTAAAAAATAAACCCGCAAAATTGGGAATCAATTGAACAATGCAGGAATTATAAATGTGAAGCTTATAATCCCAAACCGTCCATCCCCTAAACAAATCCTTATCCAAAGAAAAACGTTGCATCCGCGTGTAAATTCAACGCGTGTAAAAATGTTTGGGGAACCACCATAGTTTCAACGCCCGCGATTTTTTACGGCCACGCAACCGTTCATTCGGTATTTGTTTCTATCCTTCGTCGTCCACCGGCCGCATTTTGATTTCGTGCGTGCTCGCACGTCTGCGTGTGTGTATATTTTTTTTTTGTTTTGTTTGTGTACGAAAGAATTCGAGTCCAGTGCGTCGAGCCGAAAATTCCGGCCGGGTCTCGCATCGGTTGTTGTTTCAACTGACGCTGGCCAGTCTCGACGGGCTGCGGTGCAATTAAATTAAATGCCTCGGATTAATTGTTCGAAAGCAGTTAAATTAGTTGCATTCGTTTTGCGCGATTTTTGCGCAATCTCGACGCGGAATGTGCGACACTGCACGCGCACACGAGATATTTCGCTCGCAGCCACTTATTCTCGCTCCGCTTTGCTATCGCGGGCGTCGAAAATGCTCTCGCGTGTTTTCGCGAAAGGGACACTTAAAAAATCCATTTACCCGTTTGCGCGATAAACGGATACGTTTTTCCGTTTCGACGAACTTGCAATTCGAGATTTCGCATTGTTCCACCATTTCACGCAAGGATGACTCGTTTTGGGTACTGAAACAATAGGACGCCATTTTCAGATACGTTTCCACTTTCTTGTAGATGAAAGGGAATAATGGAAACTACCCAAAATATAAACTTGATTAATATCGATCCACGGCTTTTGTTCAGCATAATGAAGGTATGGAGCGAATTGAATTCTTATTATAATTGACGTTCGATGGCCTTCCTTTAATTGTACTGTGCTCTGTTACACGTCCGTCAGAGCAACTACTCGAAGCCAACCATTCAGACAATTTTTTTTAATGCAAACATTCAAGCGTTCATTAGAGTACAATGGCTTAATCTTAGTAACGATGACTCTAGAAGAGATGAACAGTAAGATTTGCAGTTACAGACAATTTTCAAGGTTGCCTTTTCATCAGGTTGTTACATGTGACTATGGATAATTCACCAACAATCATATACTCAATGTCATATGATAGTTATATGTAATAAAGCAAGTATTTTTGACAGAGATCAAAGAAGCAGTTCAAGAGGGTGAAGGAGCAGACTCTTGAGTCACATTGCTCGGATGCTGACGATACGAGGACGCGTATAAGCGTCTGGCGAGCTTGCAAGTAAACGTAGGTAGACATGGTTAGACTGGTATCCGGCCGCAAGCTCTCAACCTCATCGCAACCATCCACCACCCCGATTCCGGCTAGCTTTCGTGCCTCTCCCGTCGTTCAACCCCCCTCTGACACCCTGTGCACCCGCCTCGCTGACCGATGCCTGTCCACCAGATATCGCATCGTCGAGACATTCAAGACATAACGGACCGAGGAGAGATATGCATCATTCGGATTGCCGGACAGCCGACACACGTGGCCACTCGACGCGGCGTTCCTGCAACCTTCGATTCTCGATCGGTCGAGATTGCTGGAATGCTGAGGGGTGCTTTCTCCCCTCCTGCTCCTTAGATGGCCCGCATAACCCATTCCACGCGTGTCTCTCTGTCCACCTGCGTTCGGGATTTCACCGAAATTCGTTCTTCTTTTACTACATTTTATTATGCTTATTTTTACTTCTTTTCGTTGACAATACTTTGGATAAATTCAGAAATGATTGACAGCTGCAAATGGGTCAATGGTGGTTTTTGAGATAGAAGTACTTTTAGGTAGTTGAACTTAATCATTTTATAAAAGGGACACACCTTTCAAAGAAGCTGTTCAAGGAACACACAGGGGTACATTTGTGTTCTTTTAAATTCAGCAGTAGACACATGTCTCATATGTGGACATCGTTTTCCATACGTGTTATTAATTTCTTCAAAATTTATTTAAGTGCTATTAACGTTAAATAAGCAAGAATGATTCCGAACCACAATATGACACGAACAGATAACACCTCATTTCTCAAAGCCTCTACAACCCCTTAAAGAAAAGAGTCCCCCATTAAATTTTCCACGTCCCCGCATTCTGGGTACCAAAATTGCATAATCGCGGATACAAACGACATTGTTCAGACAATGTATTAATAACATTGCAGACAAATAGTATTGTTCAGACAAACGAATAGTGTTGTTCAAGGGATCCACAGAACGGGACAATTGCGGTATGGGGAGATAAGGGGGTGCAGGTGAAGTGATACAGGGACACTGGGAGACGAAACGAGATACGAGACAGAGAGCAAGAAGGAGTGAAAGATAGATGGTGATAGGGGTTGGTCGAGGCGAAAGGGGTAGATAGAAGGGGTGGTGTGGTGGCGATGGTGGTGCCAGTGGCGGTGCCAGTGACTCGGTCGAGCAACGAGGGGTTTGGAAAGCGTAATCGTTCTAGCCACCGCACCTACCCTCTTGCACCCCCGTGGTCCTGTACCCGCTCGTACTCGCTATTTATTGCCCGCACTCGGCCGGTTCACAACATAAATATGTTACACCTATGGCCACACCTATTGCCCACGGCGCGCGAATTCCTCCGCAGGCATTCGACCGATCCGCGAAAAGAATTACGCGGATAAGCGGATAAACGTTGTTTCGTTGTTTTCTGGTCCGTTCTCTACCGGTTCGTGATTTTTTTTCCGTTTCATTTGCTCTTCGAATTCGTTGATGATTTTATTTGTCACAGAATTTCCCTCGATTTTCATCCCCGATAGGTTTGATTAAAAAATACTTTTTTATTCAGAAAGTATAAAGTACGCATTCAAAGTTAGGTCAACGTGGCACCCTTGTCTGTTTCTGAAACGGAAGCTGTCAACGGCCTCTTACCCGAGAGATACAGTCTCCTGCTGCAGGGATCGAGGGTAACCTAAGAGCGGGCCTGTTAAGGGCTCGAGGCAAGGGTGCCACGGAGGGTCGAGTTTTGGAAGATAAAAGAAGGACCAACTTGTTGAATATCGACCGACTCGCACTGTACATTTCAAGCTTTCGAGTTCTATTTTCTAAATAATCAAAGTACTCACGTTTTCTCGATTCTCTCGAAATCTCCAGGCTGTTTTGTTCTCAAAGTCACGGGGCACCAGGTTCGTTTTCCAGACGCATCGGCATACAGAACAACGGAGCGACAAACGCAGGGGTAGCAGAGTGGTAGCGAAGGTCGATATCTTGCGATCAGAAGGAACAATCGAAAAGATACAAAGCAAATGTTCGGTCACGACGCTCGTTACTCAAAAGCGGAAGCTTCCGCTCGTGGCCGCGACGCGCAAAACCTCGGTAGCTCCGCGGACGCACGTGCAACTCGGCCGCGTGGCACGTGGTGTTTGTCGGAGTGGTTCGGCTCGAAAGCCGCTCGGCAGAGCTTGCAAGCTCTCGAGCTTTCATTGGACGATGGGTGGAAACTGCGCATGATTGCGGGTGTGGCCAGAGCTTAAGGGGCGGAATAAGCCACGGGGTGACGATAGGGCATCACGAAAAGGGGCACGTCTTCGTGGGTGTCCACGTTCCTAGACTATCCCACCCCTAACGTGCTTTTTCCTTAAGCTTCTAACGAGCCTGAGAAACCGGTCTCTCTCCGGGTCCAAAGCTTCGAGAACTTGCGAACTGACTTCCACGACCCCGGACCGACACAGAGGGAGCACCCGGAGTAATTAAGGGGAAACTAATGACGTCGAAGACCCGCCAGGACACGGTCTCCAAGTTAACGCTCCGTGATGTTATTCATCGAACTTTTTACAACCATGTTGTTCTGAACTTTTGTTCTCGGCAAACTCCTGGATACTGATTATCGATTATATTGTCATAAAATATATCTGAATATGTTCTATACTGTTAATGATTGCGTTTTCATCTTCTTTTATACTTTTATACTTATTATAGAATAATCTTCTTCGATATTCTACATTAGGGTGGTCTCTTCAGACAGGTACATATCAAAAGCAATTTTTATATATTTTGTGTGGACGACTTTTCGAGGTGTTTGCTAATTTTTTAATTTATATCCGAATGGAGTTTTTATGTCAAATAAATTAATAATATACATTCATTCATACATATATTGAATATTGATCGTCGATCAGTTGTGATAAGTTCAGACTTTAGTTCTAAAATAAATGTGCAAAAATAATGTTCCAAATTAAATGCAATATCTATGTGCGATAAATTCACAAACTTCGATAAGGGTCATACTTAACATACAAGTATGTAACCTTTGTATGAAGATTCCACCCCCATTAATAAAAAATATAAATAAGTTAAAGAAGATTTTAGTAAAGATTTATAAAAGTTACATTTAAGAGACCGATCGATGCCGCGTTTTTCTTTTGTAGCAACAGGTGGGGCCATATTTGGCACTAAGGAGAAAAGAAGCGAATGGTTCGGCTCGAAAGCCGCTCGGCAGAGCTTGCAAGCTCTCGAGCTTTCATTGGACGATGGGTGGAAACTGCGCATGATTGCGGGTGTGGCCAGAGCTTAAGGGGCGGAATAAGCCACGGGGTGACGATAGGGCATCACGAAAAGGGGCACGTCTTCGTGGGTGTCCACGTTCCTAGACTATCCCACCCCTAACGTGCTTTTTCCTTAAGCTTCTAACGAGCCTGAGAAACCGGTCTCTCTCCGGGTCCAAAGCTTCGAGAACTTGCGAACTGACTTCCACGACCCCGGACCGACACAGAGGGAGCACCCGGAGTAATTAAGGGGAAACTAATGACGTCGAAGACCCGCCAGGACACGGTCTCCAAGTTAACGCTCCGTGATGTTATTCATCGAACTTTTTACAACCATGTTGTTCTGAACTTTTGTTCTCGGCAAACTCCTGGATACTGATTATCGATTATATTGTCATAAAATATATCTGAATATGTTCTATACTGTTAATGATTGCGTTTTCATCTTCTTTTATACTTTTATACTTATTATAGAATAATCTTCTTCGATATTCTACATTAGGGTGGTCTCTTCAGACAGGTACATATCAAAAGCAATTTTTATATATTTTGTGTGGACGACTTTTCGAGGTGTTTGCTAATTTTTTAATTTATATCCGAATGGAGTTTTTATGTCAAATAAATTAATAATATACATTCATTCATACATATATTGAATATTGATCGTCGATCAGTTGTGATAAGTTCAGACTTTAGTTCTAAAATAAATGTGCAAAAATAATGTTCCAAATTAAATGCAATATCTATGTGCGATAAATTCACAAACTTCGATAAGGGTCATACTTAACATACAAGTATGTAACCTTTGTATGAAGATTCCACCCCCATTAATAAAAAATATAAATAAGTTAAAGAAGATTTTAGTAAAGATTTATAAAAGTTACATTTAAGAGACCGATCGATGCCGCGTTTTTCTTTTGTAGCAACAGGTGGGGCCATATTTGGCACTAAGGAGAAAAGAAGCGAAAGTGGCGTGTCGCAGGAGCGTTTTTCGGTGCATCGTTAACAAATCAATCAAGAACCGGCAAATGTTTGGCGCGGTCGTGTGTCCGCGGTAAAGTGAAAGTCTAATCACGGCCGACCGATAAATAAATCGGTTTAGCTAAACAGAGCGAATCAGTTAGGATGGTGCGATTTCCAGCCAAAGAGCACGCAGCCCGTCGTTCCACGGGAACGAGGGATTTCCATCGCGTATTTACATGGTATGCCTGCTGATTGGCTTGCACGGTTACCGTCGTTTTAATGATTTACCCCTGGAGAATCGCATTAGCCCTAGGATAGCGTAACGTCATTTATCATTGATTTCTCGTTCACGCCGAGTTACGGGTAATACGTTTACCAGCGACCTGCAAAATTTGTACGAAATAACGAAGACGCAAATTCGACAAGTGAACCAGCGATCCAAAATTGAGGCAGCCATGTAATTTCGAACGCCGGTGTCTGGGCAGCTTCTTGCAGAAAGTGTAACACGCAGACGAGAGTACGTAAATATATAATGGCTCGTCGTCTCGCCAAGCAATTATATATAACGTCAATCATTGATCGCAATTATGACGCGAACGTTGCAAGACTCGATACGGATATAGCGCGATTGCTATTTCATAAATCTGCAATGACGCACGGCCCGGTCGTGAGTGACGCGTCATATATCGCGGCGAACATTTATGTGCACTCGCCATGCACATAATTGCAATTAGAGCGGAATTCATTTACATCGACGTTCGATTTGTTCAGGTAGAAAGCACGGATTTGCACGGGACCCGGTGCACGCGCCGCTCCCGTCTCGATTTATTTCCGTGCTTGTCAATCCTGCCGCCCCGCGATGTAAACGGGATTAGATTAGCCCCGTGAACGCGCGATACTAAACGCCGCGAGAAGATAAAACCGGACGATTTGCGCCTCGAGAATAACTCGTTACAATTTGCACGGTGTACGCAACCGATATCGGATTTCGTAACCTACCCCGAAAACGTTTCGTACGTTTTTAAATATTTACACTGTTTCGCTATTTTTCCGCTCCGTTTCGATATTTTTCTTCCGCGGTACCTCTCCCGCCCGTTCCTTAAAATCGTCCATCCATCGAGAATTTATCGTCGGTGTATCACTTCACGGAATTCGACGTTGTTTTCGTCGGGCGTGCCGGCGAATAAATCAATTTTGTTTTTATTATTTTAGAAGAGCCCTTCGGCTCCAATATTCGTTAAACGATAATACAACGCGCGGGCAATAATAGGGGGAAAACGGCGTAACTGTTAACCGAATAGAAGATCGGGAGTGGTCGAACAACGAAACAGAAAAAAAGTGGAAACAGAGGTTCGTTCTAAAAATTTCATTTCGATTTTTTTAAATACCACGCATGCTACCTTCGCGTCCGGGATTAAAAGCTAATTCGAGCGATCCGGTTTAATTGAGCGATTAACGGTTAAATAAAGCCCGTTCCTCTCTCGCTCTCTTTTGTCCTTCTCTTTTCCCGTCCGCCTCTCTCTGTCCGGCCCGCCCCCACCACCTTTTAGAACAAATCGTTCGTGATGGTGTCCAGCCCGGTGGAAAATATAATTCAAAGATATTTATGGCTGGATTACCGCTGGAATTGGGTATCTAATATACATGACCGGTTCCACGAGCCGACCGGATTTTAACTGTCCACCAGGGGGTTGCCGTTTCGAGCTTTTTCCACCGATACGCATCGCGTTTGCGCGCGAACCATCGTCGATTACGCGACGATACGATCGAGAACGCGACACGTAAAGACTCGCGTGTCCCACGACTTGCCTCGTTCGCTGGCAAATTCTACGACCGACGAGGGGAACTGCACGGAAAAGGGACAAGAGTTTCCCGGCGATCCTGGAAAAGGATTAGCCGCAATTGATAGCCACGAGCATGGAGGAACGTGCTTGAACCTGGCGTTACGCACCAGAGCACCGGCCATCCAACTATCTGTGTTCTGGTCGTTTCAAAAGTTTGCGTGTCGGCCCGTTTAGACTTTAACACGCGCGTATGCGATGTAAACAGGATGAAAAAACCCGGCGGAAAATCAAGCGAATAATTCCGCGACATAATTCGCCGACGACAGCAACGCTGTTCGTTTTCATCGAGGCAAATTGTTGCCTTTCGAGTATTAATTTGTCCCGTAAATAATTGACGAGGGTGAACAAAACACTTACTGATTAATATTTTATGTGTCTAGACACCGTCTTCTCCTAAAGCTGTGAACACGATGAGACTTTAATAAAATTACAACCCTTATCTCTTAACTGAGTCACAGTAAAAAATGACGTGTAAGATCAGACGTCACGTTACTGAAAATTAGTATTCTCTTAAGATTTTTGTGATTCATATTAGATCTAATTATTACATAATGTAATATTGTATAAATTGTTTATGGAATAAAATATAAAAATGTCAGGTATAGAAAGTGTCAGCCAGTCACTTAATATTTGATAAATCCTTAAAGTGAGCCTCATCTGTGGCTTCAATTTAAAATTTCATGAACACAAATTATTACTTCGTTTTTACGTTATATTTTTGCCAGCTATGTTTCCTGACCTCCGACCTTATCAATTTCCAATCGACCTTTATAATTTTTATCGAGTACTTTGCAACTCGTGTTTTAATTGAAGACTAATAAAAATGTAAACACTTGTGTCGGATTTTATGATGTACTGTACACGATAAAATAAGAGAACGCTCTGTAAAATTGTTGTTTAAATATCAGTAGTCAATCATTAAAAGCTTGAAAATAAATGATAAAGTACCCGTTTACTTTATCCGGAATGAAGTTTGAAAAAAAAGTTTATGGTCCGATAGGGGTGGACGGTTCGGAGATGCTTTCGTCGAAGGAGAAAGGTCGTAGACCGTGCCGAACGCGGAATTAA